TTGCTCTGGAGACATCTCTAACAGCAGACTTTCCAGATGCAACTTGTCTTTTGATTTCCTGACTGCTGGTGCAAAGAGTATTGATTGTTGATCCAAACAAGATGAAATTGGTAACAATCTTCATAGTTAGGTGTCATCAAGCTGACTACAACTCATACCAACCCTATGCTGCACTTTTGTTATAATATCCAACAGTTCACACACACTTTGCTAGTCAATTTTGACGCACAGTGTGACTGACAGCCTCAGAAAACCACCAGAGGATCTGCTATGAGTTGATTTTGGCTTAATGACAATGAGTTTGAGTTTTTAACATTTTATTCATTATACAAGAATTCCTGATGGTGTAGGAGTTAGATATTCACTGCTCACTGAAAAATTGCTGCCAATCTGAACTGTAACCTGCTAACATTCCTAATAAATCCCATAACCATGAGTATGGTTCTGTGAGATCTGTATGGTCATTGCAACAGATTCTGGACCCCGTAGAGCAGTAAGATTGGTGTTGGAATTATTAGAAATAGGTGCAGGAGCGTGGAAGATCATGTTTGACCTTAGAGGAATTGGTTCTGTGCTGTGGATGTTGTTGAAGGGAACAGTTCCCCTCTGTGGAGTTAATAGAGGTTAGGTGGGGTCATCCCCCTGCTGCCTTCACTCATTTTACAATTATGGAGTTACCCTGAAAACATCTATCCAAGGCAAGCCGAAGCGGATATGATGCTATGCCTCTTAGGCTAGGGTCCCTTGCATGGAGCCACACTGGGAGGTGGATGGATGGGAGAGAAAAGCGTGGAGTTGCCCTGCCCCCTTCTTCTCAGCCTTGCTGACAGCTGATGGGGTGGGACTCCAGGCAGCAGAAAAGATGGGAGATCTCATCTCTAAAATTACAAATTCCTTCCCTGGGTTCGTGGTACTGTCTAGTTTTTCTGGAGTTACTGTAAATCAAAATTGACCCAATGGCAACCAATAAAAATGATTTCTGCACTACCGTAAGGCATCAGGGCAACTCCACTCCATGCTGTTTTTAATCACCATTGAATCGCTCTGACTCATGGCTACCTTATGTATCAAAGAATTCTGCCCAGTCCTGCACTATCTTAATGACCATTGATGTGTTTGAGTTCATTGTTGCAGCTCATCATTGTCTTCATTAGCCCTCTATTTCTCAAACGTGATGCTTTTTTTTACACTTGTTTTTTCCTGATAATGTGTCGAGAGAGAGAGAGAGACCTAAAGTCTTGCCATCCTCATTTCTAAGGAATGTTTTGGTCTTCTTTCCATCTATTAGTTTGTTATGCTATGTTGGCTTCCATATTGCTGTGATACCATAAATGATACTACTAATGTCAAACATAGTAGCAGGGTCACCCATGTTGAACAATTTTCAGTAAAACTTTCAGACTAGAATAGACAAGGAAGAAATGCCTGGTGATCTACTTCTGGAAATCAGCCAGTGAAAATGCCACTACACTCTTTTCTTTGAATTCACTACTTTCCAAGGTCACACCTCTCCCCCTTGTGCAGTGGGCTGTTCTCTGTTCTCTCCCTGGCTTGCCTCTATGAATCTTGTTGCTTTTAGCATCTGCTACAGCCATTAGGGCTCTTATAACATCACCACCCAGTTACCAGAGTTGCAACACCCCCTTAACTATCCCCTGCCAGACTCACACCTGTGATTCCCTCATGGCTGGCCAAGAAACAGCAACCTGCAAGCTGGCTTCTCCACTTCTGGCCCATCTCACGTGCACACACCATCTGCACCCCCTTGGGCTGGCTGGCAGGTCTGTGTATCTGAGAATGTGTCCTCTCCTTTTGAGTGGGAGGTGACCCTTCTCTCTCATCTTGAGCAGCCATGCAGACTTATAATGCTCAACTCTTACCTGCATTTTCAAAGATGAACCCTTGAGGAGGGCAGCCTCAATGAAAAGTGAGCCAGGTGAAGTGATCAGCCCTTGGTTTGGGTCAGGTCCTACCATCAACCCCCACAGTTATACACTCTTCTCCCTAGGACTAGACGAAACATAAGATAACATAGAACTGCAAATGTAAGCTGCTTGCTGGTCCTTTCTGTGATGTAAACATCATTAATTAATCATTAATCAATCATCATTAATGATGGAAATCTTATTAAAGAGGCTGCGTGTGCCATGGAGAAATCTTCACGATGTGGTGGTTAAAATGCTTGGCTGCTAACTGGAAAGTTAACAGTTTGAACGTAACAGCAGCTTTGCAGAAGAAAGCTGGGGCAACCTGCTTCTGTAAAAATTACAGTCTTGCAAACTCTTTGGGAGTATTATGCTCTTGTCTTAGAGTTCGCTTTGAATCTTGATGACACTGGGATTGGGTTTGGTTTGGATGTACTGTAGTGATTACCATAGAGTCCGAAATGCTAGATTCTAACCCCAGCTCTGTCCCTTTCTTGTTGCTGTTGTTGAGTGCCATTGAGTCAGAACCAATTTATAGCTGACCCTTCAGTGGGTTTTTCAGAGGCAGTACGTTTCATGGGGGATGATTGACTGCCCATTCTTCTCCTTCAGAGCAACGGGTGGATTAAACCATGTGCCTTTGAGACTGCAGTCGAATTTCTTACCACTAGACCACCAGAGCTTCTGTCACCTTCTGTCACCAGACCTGGGTAATCTTGGCTGACAATTTTACTTCTCTGATTCCTCATGGAAAGTGGGAATAATAATGATTATTCTCTCCTTGGTTGGTTGTGACTATTGATTACGAGGAACTTACTTGCATAAAGCACATAACCCGGTGCTTGGCACAGACAGTCAATACTATAGAAGTGTTATTCATATGTCCAATCTGGGCTTGGCTTGACCCAGAGACCTTTCTCTTATAAGCAACCCCTAGGTGTAACCTCTTTTCTATCACAGTTTGGAACCAACTGGGGCTTTGGGACTTCCTTGATCATCTCAGTTGGGCTAGATTTCCTCATCTACCTTTACCATTACATATCCACTGAAATGAGAGAGCACTGTGAGATCTCTTCTCTCCACTGTGCCTTCTCTGAGGGCAGACAGTGCTTCAGCCATCCATGCATCTGACACTCCAGACCAGGCCTGCACAGAGCAGGAGCAACAAGCTTTGAGGGTGAGTGATTGAGGGGGGAAAAGTGGTCCTTCCAGTGTGCCGGGGTCGCTGCTTTTTTGGACCACTGCTTCGCTTTGAATGACAGATGATATTTGTCAGAGATCTGGTTGTTGTGGGAGTAAGCAAGTTTTCCAGGGCTTCCTTGCTCTTTCCTCAGGCATAAGCTAAAATGGAGAGGGACAGCATCTAGTATCACATCCTAATGTTGATTTTTGGGGACCCTGGTGCATAGGATAGGGGCTCAGGGATGGGTAACACTGCACCAGCAGGGCTCCACCTCTGGCCAAAATCAGAATCTTCCCCAGGTGAGCCCCACATTTACCCCTTCAAATTGAAGATTGAGGCCTGACGTCCTGCACCACACAGGTGGAATCTGATTGCAGGTTCTACATTGATTCTTTCAAGGTCAATTCTTGTTTGTTTGTATTTTTTTTCCTTGAGTGTTGTTACCATTAAGTTCCAGGGAGGGGTCAGGTCCCCGGGCTCGATCTGCTCAGGCTGTCTGCACAATTGAAATCCTTGAACCCATCCTGGATAATTTTCTCATTAAGACTATCAGACTGGATTGATCCATTAGATCAATGATCAGACATCAGCCAGCAGGAAGTCAATGAGGTGAGACTGGATGATCAGCCCAAAATGAGGACCCCAGCTTAGCTGAGATGGGTGCTCAGTCCTGGAAGATGGGGTTGGGAGGCAGAAGAGTGGGTCAGAGACTGTACCACTTGGACTTTGTCCCAGTCTTCTCGTACCCTATCCCGGCCCACGAGCCAAAGGAGAGGGCAGGGATTCCTAGGCACAGCTGGCTGCACAAAGCATAAACTGGTGTCAACTTTAAAAGACTTGAGAATTCTTCCCAGATACTGTGGTTGTTGTTAGGTTGCTGTTGGATTCACCCCCAACTCACAGCAAACCCATATACAGTGGGACAAAACATTGTCATAACAAACTGAAGATTGATCAATTGTGATCCATAGGGTTTTAATTCATTGGTTGATTTTCAGATGGCCAAGTCTTTCTTCCAGTCTATCTTAATCTGAAAGATCCATTGAGATACGTTCAACATCACAGCAATACTCAGCTCCACTGACAGATAGGTAGTGGCTGAGCAGGAAGTCCATTAGCTAGGGCTGAACCCAGGTCTCCTACATGAAAGGCAAGAATTCTGCCATGGAGCCACAATGACTTTCCCAGATGGTCAATCTTCAATCACCTCAGCCATCACCACCACCACCAGGATTAAGAGATGGGACTGACCTTCACTTTGGATAACAAAGCATATGTGGTAGGAAATTTAGATATTGAGGGAGCAAACAAGCTATTTCCAAGGGCTGTCCACTTTGGGCATAATTTCATTTGGAAGCTGACAACAGAGCATTCAGAACACTATATTCCAATGTGGATTTCACCAGACCCAGCGCATAGGATGATGATGCGGTGAAGGGATGGATAATGCTGGATTTAGCACACTTCAGCACATTTATTTCCTAAAGGATTTACTAGGCTTATGCATAGTGACTCTCTAGTACTGAAAGGGGTGTTGGCAGGGGGGTTGGTGAAGAGAGTGTTTGACCAAAGAATTATTTCTATGGGCATTTTGTAGAAATCTGTTTTTGACATTTACTCAAGGTGCCATTGGGTCCTTCATTCATGAGAAAACTCATCCCAAGAAGTATTTTTGGGGTTAGAGGAATTCCATCAGAGCCAGGAAGATGTTAGTGAGGAAGAAGATGGTAGCCTCACTGGGGCCCACAATTAGCATTCATGTAGACACACTGTATGCGGTGCCACCTATAGCTGTGCGGTGCGAAGCCAGCTCCCTCGTTCTCCCTCTCCAGCAGCCCATCCCTCCTGAGAAGCTCATGCCCCTCATCACTTCATTCTCTTTCCTCCCACAGGCTATTTGACTGTCAGCATCGAGCCTCTCCCACCTGTGGTGGCTGGTGATGCCGTGACCTTAAAGTGCAACTTCAAAACGGATGGCCGCATGCGTGAGATTGTGTGGTACCGGGTAAGTGGTCCTCGCTGTCCTTGGTGACCCTCTAGAGACTATTACAGGCATGGGTGCAACTCAGACCTGAGCTCTCCTGTGTCTTCTGCCAGGCCTTTCCCCTCTGCTGAAACCCCCTCAGAGGTTGCCATGCCCAGCTTCACTTCTGCCTCTAGAGTCTATTTGTTCTGGCCTCCTTTACAATATACCCCTAGGAAGGCTGGATGGCTGGATGGAGAGGTAGATAGCTAGACAGACAGACACGTACATGGCTAGATATCTGCCATGGAGTTGGCTTCAACTAATGGCGACCTTATATACAACTTACGATGTTCTCTAGTCCTGCATTGTCATCACAATTGCTTGTGTGTCCAACTCTATTATTACCAATCTTCCTGGATAATACCTCTGTTTCAAGAAACCTCATTAGCATCAAAGCGTACCTTTCTGAGAACACAGTGGACCCCAGCAGCAGTGTAATAGCGAAAGAATATCTCATGCTGGGATTTCGGGCATGAGACTTTGGGGAATGTTTTGGGCAGGGATCAAAGAAGGACAGGAAGTTCTATTATCTCTAAAATCAAGTTACAGAGGTACTTGCCATATTATCCCACATACAGGATTAGTCCTGGTGTCTAGCAGCATAAGTGTAAGTCTGCTAACAGATGCTGGGAACGTCAAGCAGGTGCCCATCTGTCCCAGGTCCAGGGTTTGGCGACAATAGAAACAGCCTTAGGTCTTGGAACACTAATAGATGCCTTCGTGTGTCTGGACAGGTCTTCCCAGACTATTTTCCCTCTGCACAGGAGAACTAAGCCTCAGCTTAGGAGAAGATCCAGTTGGCCTTTCTTTTGCTACCAGAGCCAAGGTCCCATTACCTTGAGAACCAGTTAGATGAGAACTTCCTTTTTATCATCTAAACATGGGTCAGCAAACTTTTTCTGTAAAAGGATAGACAGTAAATGTTTTTGCCTTTGCAGCCATATGGTCTCTGTCACAGCTACTCGACTCTGCTGTTGGAGTGTGAAAGCCTCCACAGACAATGCGTAAATGAAAGGCTGCATTGGTTTCTGAGGGCTGCCATAACAAAGTGGCGCCGTCTGAGTGGCTTACAGCAACAGACATTTACTGACATTTTCATTTTCCATCATTTTCTGATTTCTAGTGTCCTAAAACACTTTTAAAGTATTTTTCCAATGATTAAACCTTGGCATATAACTAGACTAAAAACAGGTGGCAGACCCATTTGGCCTTTCCGCCACAGTCTGCTACCCCGTGATCTCAAAAAACACTTAGGCTAACTTTGGTAAGCTATGCCATCCTTTCTTCAAATGAAACCAGTGGGTAAAATAATGAAGGCGAACTAGCCTGTCTGAAGATGGGGGAGATGGACGGTGAGGTGGGTGCCGTTTGGTCATCAACCATGGAGAGCTGGCTGTCCTGGTCCTTCAAGTGCCACTTTAACCACTGTGTTGAGCATGGTAACCATTCGTTGCCTTGGCTCAGAGCAGCTCTCCCTAATCACCTTCTGGCTCATAGTCCTATCTTGCTTTGCACCAACCTGGCCTTGCTGCTGCTTCTTGCAGTTTAGTCTTTTGCTAGTTATGTGCTATTTTGTTGGCTGTGATCGGAACCCTATTTAACCACAATCAAGTTTCTCCATCTTAGCATAAAGCTCTTCTTGCTCGGAATAAATGCTGGGGTGCTCCACCAAAGCCCTTCTGGCATCCCCGGTCCCACAGGTGTGAACCTGACATCCTATATTCCCCAGAATCCCAGTCTGAGAGGAAGTTTCCATCCTAGATAGATCAATGGGTCTAGAGAAAGTCAAGGCATATGTTAAATAGTGCTGTGAACTGAATCGGTAAGAGGCGTATTTACATGATATGGGAACTGCTTGGCTGGCACACGCTGAGAGCATCTCATTAGCACCTGGCAGAAGGACTGGGAGAAATTAATTCCAGCTCACTGCTGACGATGGAACCACATCTCTCACTCAACCAGCCCGTAAATGAGATCAGAGTGAGGGGTAGTGAATGCCATATCCAACTGATAGACAAAAAATATGGAAACCCAATGGAAACACTCTATGGGGATCAAGGTAGGACAGACCTTGGAGACAAAAAGAGTTCACTGGACATCTCTTTGCTTTCCTGGCTCTTGTAGGAATTGATCTCACTCTTGTCACTTTCCTTTGAGTGCTCACTCTTGTCACTGTCCTTTGGATGGTGAAACTCTCCTTATAGAGATGACTGTCAAGATCAAGGTTAATGCCAGAGATAGGGGAAACCCAGGTGTAAGGAACCAGAAATTTGTTTTCATGAAACTCAACAGATGTTCTCAGAAGATAGATGCAGAGGGCTGGGGGCAAAAGGGAACCTAGGTTTTTATTTGGACACTATTTCTACCTTTCTCTACCTTAACACTGAGATCTCCTTCTCAACCCCACCCCATCAGCTCTCTAACCTATGATCACATTGATTGCTTTAAGAATCAGTTACATCTCTTACGGTGTCAGGCCCTGTGTCTCAGGCTACGGTAGGCTGCACTAATTAATTTATTTTATTTCATTTCACATCCTTTGACTGAGGGCTGCTGGAGAGGGGTATGCAGATGTATGCAAATCATATGCAAATCACCTGGTGGAGCCAACTGCTTGGGCCCTTTGAATTCTGTAGCTGGACTGAGGTGGTGGCTCAGTGCTAGTGCATTTCTGTCCTTGGGATCAGGGGAGCCTCCAGTGCACACAGGGATGGTGAGGGAGACAGCACATAGGAGGAAATCCCAGGGAAATGGTCCCCTGAGACTCCCCGTTTTCTCTTTGCCTGCTGCTACTCTGGCTTTACAGCACCTCTTGTCCAAGGAACCAGCTGAATGGCGAGAGATAAGAGCTTACGAGGATGGGACCACCAGGAGCAAAGTTTCTAGAAGGGAAGTAGAAGCACAGGGGAAGTTCTTGTCTCCTTCTCTCTCCTGTCTGACCCTCTTCTCATTCCCTCTCCACTTACCAGACAGCCCCCCACAGCCTTGTCCCCTACCTCCCTCTCCCTGGAGCCTGCCCCTGCCCAAACAGGGAGGCCAGCGTTGTTTGTTTTCTGTATGTGTGTTTGCTTCCCTCCCCAGCTTCCTTCCCCCACCCCTGTGAATGAGCTTACACAGCCCAGCTTGGAAGGAAATGAATAGATTACACAGCCCAGCCAGGACTGGATCTCCAATCCCTTTAGAAAGGAAAAGCAGGGCATTGTGATGAGGCCGTCGCTGTTGCTCAGCCCAGCGTGCACAAAATGGCCCAAAACATGTGTAGAGTCCAGCGGGCTCCCCTCTGCTCCTAAAGACATTATCTAGAAATGGGATCAGACGGAGCTTTCAGAACACATGAATATATTTGATTCTTTGAGTAACTTAGGGGAGATGATGAAATTGTTGAAAGCAAAAGCGGTCACCTCTTCAAGGTTAACAAGGTCTGTAGGTGAACTTTTGGGGATGTCCTCTCTTTAGGACCTCTTTGTAAAGAAAGAAGACTTTTGGGAGGATGCCTGCTCCTTGGACAGGTTGCCCCATGGTCTAGCCAACTGGTTAGATCCAGCTGATACATAGAAAAGGATATAAAAGCCATGAAATGTATTCAGAAAGGGCAAGGATGACACACAAATTCTTGAAGCGTTCTGTACTTTTATTTCTGTAAGTTAAGTGTCTTTCATCTGTTCCTTTTGGTAAAAAGCTTGTCTAACAGATATTGTTCTAAAACCAAGCATCCAAATTAAGACAGACTAGGAAGAAGAATTGGCCATCCACTTCCAAAATATAACAGGCCATCAAAAACCCTATGTGCCATTCCACTACTGGGAATATACCCTAAAGAGACCATAAATGACATCCAAGTAGATATATGTATACCCGTGTTTATCGCGGCTTTGTTTACAATAGC